TATTTCTGGATTTCTAAAAAATAATAATTTACGAATTTTTACAGGATTTTCGAGGTACGTCCAAAGCGACGTTTCGTCTCTCTGGTAGAGTCGAGACCGAGGAAGAATCGAAAAGAACCAATAAAGAGGAATGAAAGTCGATTAGCATGAATTATTAATATACAGCGCATCTAGTTCCTCGATACTGAAATTTCAATGATAATTATTTCTAAATTTCTAAAAAATAATCGTTGATTAATTTTTACAAGATTTTCGAGGTACGTCCAAAGCGACGTTTCGTCTCTCTGGTAGAGACCGAGGAGAGATCGAGAGGGACCAATCGGGAGGAATGGAAGGCGATTAGCATGAATTATTAATACACGGCGCATCTCGCGGCATTCTCTCTCTCCTTCGAAACCGCAACGTTCGCCTGGAGTCGCATTGCGAAACGCTGACGGACGATTATCCTCCGATTACGGCGTAAAGATAGTGCCTCCCGTCCTATCCAGTGACAATCGGCTGGAATATAGTTTAGGACGCTCAATGAACGTCAATGGATTTATAGCCAGATCCGAATCTCAGATATAACCATACATATATAAACTCTCGAAGAAAAGGTGAAAAATCGAGGACTCATAATTTCGAGGCGATCAGAATTCCCGGGGGAAATTGCTCCTCCAGTTGGTATCTCGAACCCTTTGACGTCCGCCAATGAATTCCGTCCCAATGGCCTTATTAAAAGACAAAAAGGGGACTCGGTCGCAATAGTACCCGAGAAAGTAATAAATCTCTGGGCTCGTTAAGCCTCCTTGGTCCGGCGGTTTCCACTCCTCTTCCTTGGAGAAACGCTTTTCAAATTAATCCTGGAGCTGCATCCTTTAATGCAGGTGGAGTACCGCCGACACGCGGAAGTCACTCGATGCTGCATTTCGTCGGAATTAAATCGGAAGAATGATTAAATAATTAGTTATTAAAAAAAATATATATTGCAGTCTTGCGTCCTCTTCTGATAATGACAAATAATGGTATTCAATGACTGTGCCGACCATTCGCGTCGACAACGATCTCGTTACCGAGATATTTGGTCCGATGCTCCAGTGCGTTAACTCGGTGATCGATGTCAACCCGAAGTACCCATAAACCCGAATTCGTGTACCTACATGACCGATACCATGTACTCCACATACCGATAACGATTCCATATCGGTCCCACTGCCACTCCGTGTAATTACGACTTACGATTACGTACGACTCGCCGCATCCCACTAAGTAGGATAATCCACTCGTCAGGCTGAGAGTACCGATCTCCCCGCGATCGATTTCAATTCGACCGATACCCCGACATATGCAAATATCGGGGAGAAATTCCCGGATACCCCCGAAGGAAACAAAAAAAAGGATCCCCTAACGTGGTCTTTTATTTACGCGACAGACTGATTGGAAATCGACGTGTACGTCCGTCGGTTTCGGATGTACGCCCCTCTGTGAAATTGGAAAGCTTCCCCAAGTGCGTAAATATGTAATGGCGAGAATTACCTTCCAAATGTTTACTTAAATTATCGAAATATGTTGCTTCATCTCCCCCCACTGTTAAGCGGTATGATTAATTGCGACGGGGCGATGTTCGGGAATTTCGCTCGGAATGAGGTTTTGCGAAATTTGGCTAACTACGGGATTTGTGTTTTTCCGCAATCGGTAGCAACGGATCAGTATGTAAGGATCGTAACGCCGGTACGTGTGCATCCGGAATCCGGATACGGGAAAACTGGGTACACCAGGGAGGGCACGGTTACTCTAAATTCCAAAGCTTAGCCTCCGCCGAATTTACACCGGCGATAAACCAGAAAGCTGTGTACACCTAGGACCATTTCGGAGCCGTTCAGGGCGCCTGGTACGACGTTTCCGAAAATTTCGCCGACCCCCTGCCACCTTACTCCGGTTTATAGCGAGCGAACCTCCGGAATTTCAGATATTCCGGACACAGAGCGACCCCCGGCAAATGAAATAGAAAAACTTCAAAGGGCTGGACGAACAAGTTCCTCGCGAGGAAGAATGCAAAAAAAGTCGGACTCGCGAGGTCCCTTGAATTTCGCGAAAAGTGTTGCCCACCTCTGGAGCAGATTCCAGGAGAAGGGATCGATTTTGGGGAGGAGCGATTTGAGGAAAATTTGCGCATCTCTGGAACGGATCCCAGGAAAAGGGATCGATTCCAGAGAGGGATGATTCGAGGAAAATTTGCGCACCTCTGGAGGAAATTCCAGGAGAAGGGATCGATTTTGGGAATGAGCGATTCGAGGAAAATTCAACTGTTCCCAGAAGTATTGGATCGTAACTGCATATTTTCATGGAGAGTTATCTCGTTGGGGGCGGTTTAATGAATATAAAAGCGGGTCTGGTTAACTGATAAAAAGAAAAAATGGAATTGCTGGGCTTGAAGGGGGAAAAGTCGGCCGAGGGGCCGAATTTTCCAGGGGTGTTCTCGATCCGCGTTCCGGCAGGTATTATTCTTCGGACGGGATTACGAATGGGGTGTTTTCATGGTAGCCGTGAAATATGTGTTATTCGCGAGTACACTCGCCCTGTGCAGGGCCGGCTGCGACGCATGCAAATGAAACGGCGCTTTCGCGACCAGCCCGTTCTCGGGAAATAATGTCGCGACATTTTAGCGGATCCGAGCCCCGTAAGAATTCTTCCGAGTAGGTAGGTATAGGTTGAATCCGCCTGAAAGGATTTCAAAAAGCTCCCCGAAACCTTTCTTGCGGACCTTCGCGGGGAGCTTTTTGAAGGACCTGACCTCGCTCCGGAAATCCCGTAATGCGATTTCCCCAGTCTCGCCGGAAAATTCGGTCGGCTACCGAGAGAATCCGTGTTATTTTTTGCATCACCTACAATTGATTTACAATTAAATTTTGATTTATTCTAAATACGTATAAATCCGCGCAATGAAGAAGGCACGAGTCCTTCGTCCCAGCTGATTCGGAAAGACTGAAAAGAAATACCCGAAGTCGAGTTTCACGCACTTCGACGTGAGATTGGGATCATCCTTGAGAACTCATAGCGAGCGCAGACCGCGAAGTTCCTGGGGTATCATAAACTATCGTAACCACTCTCCATTTATCCTGACACGCTCTTTGGATCCCCCGAAGGATACTTCTTTCAAAGACGAGGCAATCGGCCCACGAGGGAGCGATCTCCACACCGCGTCCAAGTCCTATTTCAACTTGAACATCCATTCACTCCCATTATCCCAATAAATACCACCGAGCAACACATACTGTAGCCTCTTGCGAGTATTTTCTCTCCCATAGAAATTTTTATTTGACCAAAGCCGATCCCTGGAGAGGCGAAAAACGGTTCTCCAAAATGGCGCCGCCAGGGGTATGCGTTACCAAGACCACGTTTCCATTCCAGCCAGACAAGTGTGCATTTTAATTCACGTAATTCACGTCTTGAGACGCAATTTTGACCCCGGGGACCAGAAATGAAGTCGTCGAAACGCGTCGGTATGCCCGAAATGAGAGACACGACGTCGCGGCGTCTAAACGTCGGGTGGCATTCGGGACCTCCCGGGTCTTGTACGACTGGTACCAATTTGGTACCGTCGGTACCTCTTCTGGTAATCGTGGTACCGGTGGTACCAGTGGTACAAGTAGTGGGATTCCCGCAAATTCGGAGGCAGGAAATTTATTCAAAGCGCACCGTCGACGGAGTTCATTTGGGCGACGTCGGTGGTTGGATAATCCACCGGCAAGAGCGAACGCCGGCCGGGACCACGACGAGGTGGCGTTTAGTAACGCCGGAATACATTACCATGTGGACAATGGACGATTGGTTCCAGCACGAGCACGCTGCTCCCGTTCGTTTTAGTCATTGTCAGCACGGAATTGCCACCGATACGGACGGCCCATGGAATAAGGTGGCGCGTCCTTCCGTCGAGGTAGCGTCATGCTGAACGGATGGGTAGACAGTGATGTAGGTCCACCCTGGAAAAGGGAAGATAGACAGTCGGATGTTCCACTATCTCTACACCCCCTGAAATAAATATATAACCTCCAGCAAGATTAAAATAAATGTATGGCCACCGTGAAAACTGGGAAGAAATTGAAGGAGGAAATAAAAGAAAATTAAGAGGGTGAAAGAAAGGAGTCCCAGGGGTGATGGGGTCTTGGAGAATTTCTCGACTCTCTCCAGGGTGTCGGATAATTATTTAAAATCCAAGTAAATTATTTCCAGTGTTTTAAGAGTGAAGATAAAAATCCTGGGGCTGGATCAGAGGTCCAGGTTGGAGAAAGCACCCATGGAGATCCCGAAGATACCGATTACGTCGATCGTTCATCAGCTGGCGAAAGCGTTGCGCCATTCTCGGGAGCGTAAAATCGGCTCTAACATACGAGGCGCACAATTCCGTGACTAGGGGGCCATTCAATCTCTTTGTCATCTCGCGATATCACGAAATAACGAAGGAGAGTCCTCCTCGAGGTCTTTCCGCGTTGCGTCCGCGTTCTCGAGGACTCGTCCGTGGAGAAACGCGAGACGACGAAGAGGGTCCTCGAGAGATGATTAAACGCGCTTTTAAATATCCCGGCAGAATATCCAACTTAAGCGCGAGAAGGGAGTGCCGGTCGGCAATTTCCGCAACGTCTCCAGACTTTTGTCAATAGCTTTCCCCCAGTAGATGGGTGGCTCTCGGTACCTATAGAAACGACCGAAAGGACAGTCGAGAACGCACGACCTTCAACTCGGTCCTTCCCATCCGTGGCGGGAGGGATGTGAGCCGAAAACCCGGGAAAAGTCGAGGAAAATTCTCAAGCAGATGCCATGTAACCCATCGTTGCAGGCCCCAAAAATTCGGCGGACCGGTCGAGGGAAAAATGGCCAAGAAGAGCTATCGAGGGAGGAAGTCCCGGAAGCGCAGAAAGAAGAATGGATTCATCGTCTTCTACTTGACGGTCTTGCGCTGTATGCCGAATTGTCATGTAACGAAGGTCGCCCAAATAGCGGGCTGTCGTTGGCGGAAAATGTCCGACTGCGAGCGGATGAAGTACGCAAAAATGGCGAAGAAGGGCAAGAGGAGGGGCCGCTGAAGAAGCTCTTCAGGGTATCCGGAGAACCTGGACCGACAAAATTCCTTCCCCATATTGCTCGTAAGATCCCCCAAAATTGTAAATACCTCCCATTCCATTGACAGGTCAATTTTGACAGGGCATTTTCAGGTTACCACTTCCTGTCACTCCCTGAAGACCCCCCACGTGTCGTGGACCCGGGACCCCCTCGTCGGAATTCTCTCAGACTTTGTCGTTGGTGATTTTTTACATGTCTGGAATCCACTCGTCCTCAGCAAAGTCTTCTAGTTTGTAACCCCTGTACGTTTAATATGAACACTGTACTCGCACTTGAAGCACCGAATTACCGTCTTCATTTTTTATCCACGGAGGGGGTGGAATAACAATTTGAGGGATTTTATGAATTTTTAGTAATTACAGATTTATCCGAAACTGGATGAATCTCTGCTTGGACCTCTTCGGGGTCTAGGGTCTTGCTCGAGTCTGAGTAATTCCTAGGGGAATTTCGTCCAATCTGGACGGTAATGGTCCCGGTTTCGAATTCCGACTCTCGAACCGGCACGGGGGAAAATCCTACGATCCGAGGAAATGGGAAAAGCAGCGAATTATGCGATTAAATGGGGATTGGTTATCGATCGATTCGCGGGTTTTGCGAGCAATGCCTGTTGCTCTCCTTTGATATCGTTAATGCGCGGATTCGACGACAAATTCCGCGGCGATAATGGAATTCCCGAGGGGCTATTCGCTCGGAAACCATGCGAAACCATGTCCTTCTTTGAGAACCAATTGCCATAGATTCTAACTGATAAATGATAAACAACAACATAATCCAGTCACTATTTCCACTCGGCCTCAAAATTTCTGCACTAATATTCCGGCGCCTGTCGCCAATTCCCAATGATATCCAACCCTCCATTCTCGATATCCTTTTTACTAAATAATCCTTAACAAATTTCATTCATGTCCCTATCTCTTTTTTCGACTAAATCAATCGAGTTGCGTGGCAGAACAATGTCGATAACGATTTCTCGCCGATTTCCACGCATTTCCCGGCATTCAAATCCCCGATTTGTGACCGAATATCCTTTCGGGAATTTCCTGACAACAAAAGCGATGAGAAGATTTGCAAAAATGGTGAAAACCTCGTCGGTTCGTTGCCCACAAATCGGCGAAAAGTCCTCGAGGACCTTGTCTTGAAACGCGACCTTTCACCTCGCACCTCTACGGAGGTGTCTTACTCAAGAGTACCGTCACTTCTGTCCGCAAATGTCACACTCGGAGGACGATTAGAAGAAAATCGAGAAATGCCCCATCCTTGGTCCAGCGATCCCTAGATCAGCGTCCTCCAAGAGTTCCGCAAGCCTCTCGTCTGGCTGACCGGGTCTGTCCATCGAATTTTTTTCCTCAGCCTACCTCGATGCTGAGATGATATTACGACCGATTATCCGAGTGTCCCTGATTGCACAAAGTTCATCGCGGTCTCATCAATCGGCGGCTGTCTCTCGATCTCGTATCTATCGCCGATTCGGCGGCGATCGATCGGCTCGGTCGGCGCACTTTTGCGAAAGGTCCGATACCTATCGATTATAATATTATATTATTATTCCTAGGATTATTCCTCCGATGGGAGCCGAGGCTCGGGTCAGCCGCGGTGTGTCATCGGGGTCAAGAACGGCGCGAATTGTTTTTTTTTTTACCCTCTCCACATTTTCCCCTTTTTGTTGCGGCCCCTACTACAATGCGCTTGTCTATGTCGAGATTGCCCAATGCACCTGTGTCCCCCAGCAGGAAAGGTGATCCCAGGGCCTTTAACGACCGAAGGAAGTCAGGTGTTACATCTAACCACCGTGTAATCAGGGGCGACAGGTGTAATCAAGCTCTGGTGGTCCGGGAGGCGAGACCGCGGGGAGTGATAAGGAGAGGGCTCGAGGCTTCTTTATTTATGCGGTATTTATGCAGATCGAGGCGAATGACAATGTATCGATTCTTGGGGAAAAAGCCGAGGAAGAGGCTGGGAATGTTTCCATGTTCAGAGGCGAACGTACTCAGAGCGGCGACAATGGACTCCGTTTGTAGATGCATTACCGCTCGGTAATCATTTACGGTGTATTTACGCGGGTCATTTAATGCCAACGTGGCTCCGCCAGGTGCGCGTTAAGGCCTCGTAAAGACGTCGAATGCGCCGGAGAAGTCGATAGAAAATTCCACTTTTATCGCGGTTTAGAACGGAGATTTGAGAGTTAATGATCAGGCCTCGGTGAGGGACAGGGGATGGGTTCGCGCTCGTTTATGCACGGTTTATGCAGATTTCTCGAATGTCAGCTTCGACTTTATCCTCTGGCCACCTTCCTTGCTTCATTCCGAGACAGGATGAATTTTTCCAGATTTTTAAAACATGTATAAACATCCATAATCCCGCATTCCCAGGGTTACCTTAGACAAGGAACTGTCTTTAAGTATGGGTGCATTTTTACGGGTAACTCGAAAGCAGCGGCGGAAAATAGGATATCCTTGAGAAACTCTCAGGTGACAGCTCCGACGTTATGCACCGTACCGTCGAATGCACCCTTCTTGGAGCATCCTGAGAAAGGACGAATTTTTAGGCGTTTCTATCCATTATTAAATATTATTTAATATTCATAAGTATACAAACTCCGGGTTATCGCAGGTAAGGAGTTTGTTTCTGAAATATCGTTAGGATCGGTGCAGGTTTACGGACGGCCCGGAAGAGCGTCCGGAGATGCGATATCCTTGCAGCATCCAAAAGGACTCCCGGGTTCTCCTTTTTCGGGAGCCTCGTTGACGCGAAGGAGGAACGAAGCGCAGCCAGGACGTAACTCACGGGGGAAGGATATTAATGACGCCGTGCACCTTCATCCTCGAAATGCAGCTTCACCGCTCCCGTTTCGACCTCGAGATGGAAAAGTGCATCCCAGGGTGCATCTCGCCAGGGTGCCCGGTATTGGGCAATTACGTCGTAATTGAGACTGCAATCGCGCTCGCGTGTCTCCCGCGGAAAGGTCGACTTATGAATTTATGAAATTACGAAAAGGGAGACCGGCCGACTCGCGGGATCGAGGTTCGATTGGCCAATTGCGAGTCGATCGATAGATCGACCGATCGCGCCGATGACCGATGACACCGCCGTGACTCGGCTGGTTCCCAGGGCAACGAGGGACGCTCTTCTTCGAGGTGTAAGAAATGTAATAAAAATTAAAGGAGAACTTTTACACTCGCCTGAGAGCAATTCCGGTCTGGGGGAGGAACGGGGAGACCTCGTCGGCTGTAAATACCATTTGTATTTATTATTCGGGAGATGGAGACGGGAACACGGGGACACCGTGTGCATCTTGCGGTCGCTGCGGTCTTAGGTGCTTTCACCTGTCCGAGTCTCTTCCTTTATCTCGCTCATCCTTTGCCAGACGGTAATCTCGTTACTGCGGACCCGCGACGTCCCAGCATTTACTTCCTTCTAGTTTAATCCCAGCCTGGAGTGTTCGCCTCGAAACTACGACATAAAAAGAATGGCTAAATACGAGGGTACAAGAAAAAAAGAACGGAAATACCCTCCACCCTCAGTTTACACGGTAATTTATAACACAATTTACCCGGTAACGTCATTATTTTTTCTTTTCCTTAAGCTACTGAAATAAGTATATATCTCTGAAACTGATATGTACTAGCTTATGTTTATAATAATTTTTCTTTCGTCCTGGCAGACTTTATCTATGGGGTTTCCATTCGCGCATAACGAAACCACGTGGAACGGATACTCCGTGGAAATTGAGGTGTAATAGATTTTATCTCGAATTTCTAAACTTTCGAATTTCCGAGGATGCGTCACGAAATTTCCGCATTTTCGGGAACTGGAAGCTCCGCGGTGCCTTCGAATGTGCGAACTTTCCGAAGGATCGCTTCCGACTTCCGGTTTACTCGGACAGAGTTCGACCGTCCTGGCTGACACGTCATAGTTGTTACCACTTGCAGAATTGCAGTTCGTACTACTGCGCGATGCACCGGGGCCCCCTGGTGCAGGTAATGCAGTGCGGCATGCCTGCATATATAGAAGGCCATGTCGCGGATAAAGAAGACCGCGGAAGTTCATTCCTCGACTCGGTTTTCATGAATTTCCAGCATCCAGTGATAAGATTTAAAAAATCGATTAAAAATGGTGCATCGTTAATCATTGATCCTCAATAACTGAAGATAGTTCTCGATAACTCAAATTGCCGAAATCGGACAATTTCAAGGTCCGTAACGAGACAATTCGAGGTGCACAACTCTCGGCGGTAATTGAACCAATTATCGCGGAGAGTCATAAAGATTTATAAATTCGATTAAAAATAGTGCATCGTTCGTTATCGATCCTCAGTTAACTCAAGACATCGAAATCGGACAATTTCGGGGCTCGTAACGAGACAATTCGAGGTGCACAACTCTCGGCGGTAATTGAACCAATTATCGCTTGCCCCGGCAGTGGGAGAATAATTATTTGGTCCAACCGCCGACAAGAAGGAAACGGAAGAAACAGGGAATTGCTCCAGAGGGAGGCGCCTTTCCCGGAGGGGAAAAAAGGAAAAAACGGAATAACTTGGAAAAGGAGATTCCAGATGGACCATTAAATTACACCGCAATGTCGGCCGACAAAGCTTGAGGAGTAAATCATCGGATTACTCAATTCCAGACGGACGTTCGTCCCTCAAAGGACCTCTCGATATTCCCTGGAATAGGTAAATTAATTTCAAAACGCGAGCTTCCCGCAGGAATCGGCCGCATTTCTTCATCTCGGATCTCACGGCAGATGCCGGGAATTCCTGGAGTTCCTCCGATCCTCGATCCCTCTCTCTCTTTCTCCAACTCATTTTCATTCTCGTTTGACTTTCTCTCTCGCTCTCCGCCGAGCCGCTCAATGAGTCGGGATTACGCGAGTACGCAGGAATTACCTACAGAGATCGGAAGTGCAACAATGAGACTGGTTCTCGCACCCGAGGCGACCTTTAATTTGAATTCATCGATATAGATTCATCCAAGGACCCTCCAATATAAAATAAAAAATTCAAAGAACAATTGTTTCGCTCAAAATCGAATGAATTCCATTGATGGATTTTGGACGTTAAGTATTCAAGAAAAATTTGACAAAATAATAGGTGAAGACTACCGTGCCGAGAGGCTAGAAAACTGGGTCGGATGCTTCGGGCCCGAAGAAACCGGACGTCCTCGGAAGTTCCCGAGGAGCTGCTGCGAACTTTCCGCGGCGTAATTACCGCTTCGAAGAAACAGGCCCGGCTCGACTTTTTCAGCCCGTCATTACTGGAACGTTACTCGATCCAACGCACTAATTAAACGCCTCGAAGGAAAGCCTCTCACCGACTCGGCTTTTCGCGCGGCGGAATTCTCGCGGATATTTTCTCAATTTTCACACTTTTCCTTATTTCTACCATTTTTACAATTTCTAGCATTTTAATTTCTTCCATCGATTTTTCTTCACCGATCGACCGAGGATCGCACCAGGCGGATGCAAAGGAAGGCCCTGGGCGTCGTTTCCGTAAAAATCCGTCCAACTTTCCAATGCGGAAAAGCGAACGGTCCTCGCAGGAAGAGTCGAGCCTGAAGATTGCGGTTCAAAGGTCAGGCGAGGCCCCGAACGAAAGTAAGAGACCTCGAGAGATGCATCTCCGTGTAAACGGCGGCCGAAGTAACCTCGAGTGGGTGTACGGATGCACTCGCACGGATGCACCGACACAAGGACACGTCCCTTGTGAGAGTCCTACCCGAAGCAGCCTGCAGGAAAATCCAACTCTCGCTCGTTCGTCTCCTATGCAGTCAAAGTAGATGCAAGGACGACGACGTGCATCGCGGATGCAGTCACCCGATATCCCTGATGCAGCAGGACGTCGATCTCCTCGATTCCGATCCGTCGAACCTCCTCAGCTCCGACTGCAACTGGATAACCCGGGTGCTTGACCGTTTTCCAGAATCCCCTCTCAAACCCATAGAGACTAAAAAATTGGGAGTTAATTAGTTCCCACCCCGAAGATGAGAAGCCAAAAACCGCGCTTTCGTCCTTGAAAAAAATCCTGAAATTTCGGATTTTCTCATTCTCCCGATTTTCAGAGAAAGAGAAGAAGTTTAGAGGCCATACACCTGGATTTTTTTCTTCGTATCGTTTGAAAAGAGTTGCAGGGACGTCCAAGTGCATCTCCGGTGCATCCCCTCCTTCCTGATGGAGTAAAAGTCGACTGCGAATTGGCGGCTCCCCACTTGCAGCCTCCACCCCGACCCTCTAGGTCCAGCGAAGCTGTTTGTCCTGCAAGGAAGGCGAAGCATGAAATTAAAACCTGAAATTGTTAGAATCTGTCCTCACCTTGAAGAGGAGACCGCGATGTCCAACCTTCCTCGTTTTCGCGATTACATCCGGTGAGGATAATTTTTCTCATTTTTCAAAACCGCTTCTCGATTCCAGGACTCCGGGATTTCGGAGCACGAAGACGTTGACGAGGAGCGGCGGTTCCGGCGCGGAGTGTTCGGGCCCCGAACAATGCCCTAGTCCTCCTGGAGTCACGTAACCGCGACGAGCTACCGAACATCCTTCCGGCATTTTAATATTCCGCCGGTTCGCGCGGAACAATGTAACCGCCTCGACCGAGGAGAGGAAGAGGCCGGAGACGGGAAGAGAGGTCGTAAGAGCAATTAAACGGCACGCACTCCCACGCCGCGGGACGTATCGAGGGGGACCCCGCGTAATAGCGCGCGATTACTTTCTCGCCTTTACCCATCGGTATAATCCCCGGGCCCCTGGGAACCGTCCAAATAGGCGGGAACCCCGCTATTAGCTTTCTACCTCATTTTTTTCGGCGCCCGTCGCCGCGCTTCCGAGCACCGTCTTCGAGAAGACCCCTCCAGGAGTACCTTCCGGTCGACATCCTATCCTACCCCAGGAAAAAATGGATAGATCGAACCAGAGAATTATTTCACTGGAATAAACTGAAATAAATAGTTATTCTTTGAGTTAACAAAATATTTCTAAGGTTCAATGAAAATTTATTCTCATGGTACATATGAAATATCGAGATATGATCACGGCTCATCATCGTGACTAAACTTCGCCGATGACTCGGCCGAAACCGGTGTACCTTGACCAAGGCACCTTCTCATCCGAAAGGACAATAGGAGGTTGTTATATTCCTGGTCCCAGCTGACCGTACGATCAGGTGGACCGATCTACAACGTTCCGTAAACGGTCCCGGCGAACGACCTCGTACGTCGTTGGGAGTCTCGTCGGCCCTTACTCACGGCCGAGTTAATAAAATGGAAGGCCCTGGCAGTAAATTACGGCTCGCTCGGTAGCCAGGTGGCTCTTGCGTTACGGCTCCCCTTTACGACGCCCGGATGGACCGCTCCTCGCTGGCGATCATCGCCCTTCGGACGCTCTCTTCGGGGCAAAGAGTCTCATCAAATCAATCGGCCTGGATTTCCGAAGAATCCCTCGGGCCGATCGATCTTATCCCGGCTGGGATCGCGCTGCCCCGATCCACCCTCGGGGACGGCTGGACCCGTACTGACTGGAGCGAGGGTCCACCTCTATATATAAGACCCGCGCCCCTATCTAGAGTAGAGGTCGGAATGGCCCTCTGTGATCCCTCTGGCTCGATCCGCCCGATCCTCCCTCGACGACGGCTGGACCCGTACTGACTGGGGCGAGGGTCCGCCTCTATATATAAAACCCGCGCCCCTATCTAGAGTAGAGGTCGGAATGGCCCTCTGTGATCCCCCTGGCTCGGTCCGCCCGATCCTCCCTCGACGACGGCTGGACCCGTACTGACGGGGGGCGAGGGTCCGCCTCTATATATAAGACCCGCGCCCCCTATCTAGAGTAGAGGTCGGAATGGCCCTCTGTGATCCCTCTGGCTCGGTCCACCCTCGACGGCGGCTGGACTCGTACTGACCGCACTCACCGTCCGCCTCCGCCTAAGACTGGCGCCCTTATCTCGGGTACAGATTAGAGTAGCCCCGGGTAGGATTCGTCCGGCCGATTCGTCGCTCAGGCAGGATTGGCTGCCGGATAACGGTACAGATTACATCGTCCATTACTGCACGAAGGCGAAAGGGTGGCGGCCGGATCAGGGGTCATGCTTTCACTGTCGGATGCTCCCCTCGAGATAATGGAATGTCACGCCTCGAGATTCCATCGGCTGAAACGCCTTCCTCTTCCGAAGCGAGAGCCGAACGAAAACGAAACCAGGATTCATCCCATCTCTAAGAAAATTCCATTATTTAAGAAAAAAATCAAGGGCAAGATTTCACTGTCTCTTTTTTATCTCCTACTTCTTACTTTCTATTTTCATAAAGGAGCCGTGTGGGGGGTCGGTATATTTCACATGGGAGATAGAAAACAGGAAGATGCACCGAGTAGGTGGTCCGCACACGTAAGTCGCGGTCGGACGTTTAAGGAGCCCCGACTCCTAATTTTCGCGTGGACTGCAATTTGCGGCCAATCCGCTGCGAGCTGTCCGGGAACGTGGGTCGTACATCTCGGGGTTAATAACGATGGAAAAGGCCGTTCTGCGGTTCTCGGTGCGTCTGCGGCGTACGTGGACGTAACGAGTCGAGAGAATGAATAAGTTTCGAGAGAGACGTGAGCTAGACCCGCCATCTTCTTTTTACGGAGGACCAGGTTCCCACGGCATTTTCAACATATCTGTCCCGCAAATTTCGCTAAGAAAGTTGACGGACTACGAAAGAATACCCCGCAACATTCAACACCCAACTTGGCTTCACAATTTTGCTACATAAATCTTAATTAAAATCGTGAGAATATACGGAAGGTTCGAAGACGAAGTCGCGGCGCCTCCGAAATAATGGATGATAATTTTTATGTACAAAGTATATGCATCCCGAGAGCGTTCGATCCGTACCCGATACGAGATCGTCGATGCAGAAGTCTTTGAAAGGTCCCCGTGCGTCTTCTTTATGGGAAAAAGAGAGGGAAGGAGAGACGGGAGCGAGACCGTCTTAGGGCCGACGACGGCCTCCTTTGAAAGGATATCTGGTATCGAGTCGCGTCCGCTCTCGCGTGCTAGAAAGATTTATGAGAATGACAGAGGAGGATACGGTCGGTCTAGAAAGTGTTCCGCGGATCGGCTGAACTCTCTGGACCTTTGGCCTCTTCAGGGCCGCTGCGGCGTCCGCAACCGCTTGCGGTACCGGAGTCGAAGACCCCGAGAATACGTTCTCCGCTCAATCATTAAACCCGACTCCTTAGCTACGATTCTTTCCACGCATTCCCTTAAACAAAGCATTTTCCGCGTAATGAATCCTAGAATTACCAGGTAATCGGGCAGACCTCGTTATACGCGGAAGGAAAGCGGACAAGGAGGCGACGGAGAGGCTGTAACTGCGGAAAAGTTGCAATTGGCATTGCAAATGGAGAATGCAGCGGGGCACGTTCACCGTAACGTGGTAAATGATTTCAATAAATACTCTATTAAACGCCATTGATGTGCTACACAGTAAATATTACAACGTATCCGTAGAATAATATTAATGGTAATGATAAAAAATAATTGTAAATAATCGTGATCGTTAATATAAGTATGCCTTTCGGTAGGGTCCGACGGCGACGCAGCTCGTCGGGAAGAATTACAGGCGAAAATGTAATTTCTCATTAAACTCGAGGCCCTCGGCCATTTGCACTTGGAGCCATGCAAAGAGATTAATCGAATGGCGGTCGATTGCAATCGGAGCCCGAATTCCGATTGGTCATGGCGGCCCTGAAGATTCGCTCGTCACAACTTCCGTTTCCGACGCGCGGCGTTTTATGCACCGCTTAATACAATATACGCCTCGAAAACGGACGAATTGGAATGTCAAGTGGCGTCCTCGCGCCATTTTCGGTACATACGTCGATTTCCGTTCGATCGTTCCCACTGGAGTAAGGGACTCCCGCCCTCGCATACACTAACAATTTTCCTTTTTACAAAAACATAGCAAACTCAACGCATCCGAGCAATGGCTAAACGAGCCGTCAGATTACAGGGGGGAACGAGATATCGGGCGTAACTCGGGCTCGTGATAACGCGACGCGTTATTCCATTATCCACGACGTCGCGTCGCGGGCTAACGAGAAGCGCCGAATAATTCAAGCACAATCTCTCGCCTCGATAATTACCGACTTACGTAATATGCAATGTATAATGTACAATTACTCTCCCCTCCGAGCGCGGACAAGTAAAGCCTGAAGCGAGGCGGCCGACTTTCACGCCATTTTGGAACTTTAAACCCTATTTGCATGCTCGAATTCGATTTTTCATTAATATATATATATATAGTCGCGTTGATAATTAGAAACAGGAATTTTCGTCACGGGCGAGATATCTTTGATAGAACTCGCGAGACGGCATTTTGGATCCGCAGGTCGGGCGCCGCCATTTTGGATTTCGCGCGGAATAACTTTGACGCGCTTCTTAAGTCGCATATAATTTAACATAGAGCTTTCAGACAGGTCGGTCGTTACACCCGATATTTGGTATTCCCCCTGGCCGCAAAGTAATATTAATAACACGAAAGCATATCTTGCGAATTTTGCACCTTCTAACGCGAGCAGTACTCCCTATGAAGGAATCGAGGCGGCCGCACGTAGACACGTATTGCGTAGCATTAAGTGTGCAGTACGTATGCACGTATGCACATACATAGCGAGACATCGTATCTCTTCCTTTATATTAGTCTCATCTCGTATTTATATTATTCATGTACAAGCATAGACGGTGTACGATATTAAAACTAATTAACAGTGAAGCTTTTCCCGGAGCTCTGCACGATTAGCTAGTCGTGGAAAACGGACCAAATGGACTCGTCGCCTGATAGTATTACCGAAAAGAAACAAAGGAAATCGTCGGGAGAACTGTTCGTAAAAGGAAATCGCACGTGTAAACTGAAAAATCGAGGGGAAATCATCGAGCTCCCTTCCTTTCCCGATGGTCGTTGCACGACTAGCCGATAGATTTTCTATTTTATTATCCGTCTCTAGGGGTAACTTATTACGCTATAGAGTACAGGTTACAAGATTTCGTAGTTTGCGATAGAATACGGATAGTACACGTAATATTGTCCTGTTACACTTAATAACCAGTAGGTTTAGATATCTATTAATACGGACCTATGTGTCTCGAGAGATCAAATAAACTGCCTTGAAATTCCAGCGACAGCGGTTGACGATAAACTGTCGGAAGACGTGAAAGGTAATGAAAGACTTAATTCATGCTGAAATTAATCGATGACATGCATTGACATTTGAAAATCGCTACCAGCTTCTCTCCGCTTATTATTAATAATTCCCGACCTCCGTAGTAGCGACCGAGGGTAAAAAATTAATTCAAAAAATATATATATATATACACATGTATCGTTCAATTTCCTACCTCCCGAGAAAAAGAAAAAAAAAAAAAGAAAAAACATTTGGTTCGTTCTTAACTTCTAATCATATTGCGAAGATTTAGTTACACGATTTGTTGTCGCACTAAACGATATCGTATGAATTTACACCGCAGTAAATGTGGAACCATTTAAGGCGGAATTTAAAGTGCAAAGAGGATCACAAAACAGTTACTTGACATCTCGAGGTGCAACGTTTTTGTTGTATTGATAAATCTGTTCCCCGACCAAATGTTATAGCAAGTATTACCTGAAACTGGCCATTAGCCGGTCGAGAGTCCCGACCGGACGGCATAATATCTCGGATATGCAACGACTTCAACATGTCGGAAAATATCTGACCAACCGGTGCGGCTCGTCGTTAATTTAACGCGATATGACGGATAAGTGACGTAATGAGTTTGTCATGTACAGACGTACGTGCACGGTGAAAATACGCTGACGGACTTTAACAGGAGGCAGACGTTGTCGAGTCTTTTCCGCTGGCTTCTAGTGGCCGTTTTAAACAGAGACTACATCATTTCCCTACCTAACGCTAAATTATGATTTATATTACATCTCCAGGTAGCCATACGAATGCACCATTAACCGTTTGCTATGCTAAACCTACTGGGGGTTACTTATTCCTTGTACCGTTTCACGTTCAGCATCCGACTTACAGGTCTACCCATTTTCTCAGCTAATTTCTCCTGACAATCACACCAAGGAACCCCAGATCCGTATAACGCAAAATATAAGTAATCTAAGGGACGTACACTGGATTGCAACTGCTAAACAAAATGGCCGGCAGGTGTAAAAGATAAATCTTTTCCATCGACTGCGAACGCGCTCGGATATCTCCAGAAATGGTTTCCGGGATCACGAAATGGATCGCCTTCGTTGCAGCCAAACGTCTACTATAAATACATTACGCTTAAACGGAAAGTGATTAGGGTGAATTCCAGAATCAGATAAATTAGTATAATGGACCGTGATTAAATTTCGCCGGGCATTTCCATCGCCCCATTTAGCAGTTCCAATCCCTGCATCGAAATCCCGAGTGAAAAGGACATCTCCCAGGAGGCGATCGGTATCCGCCTGAAAAGACTTTCGACTTCCCGGAGAAACCCTCGGTACTCGAGATAGGGCTAGAAACTGCAACGCATCAGTCGTCGGGGGACAGTAATACAAAAATAGTGAGGCGCGAAAGGAGAACCTAGAAACTCGTAGAAAAAAAGAAAACAACTGGTGGGAAGATCGCGGCCGACGTTCCGAAAGAGACAAGGTTACCGCGAGGAAAGACGAGTCACCCCCGTCTCTCCGGAAAATCCTAGAAATATCTCCGTTCAACCGTAGAACATTTCTAACGTCAGCTATTGGACCTCGGCGAATATCAACTCTCGACGACGCTAAAAATCCGACTAAACGCAAGACTCGCCCCCTCCCAATTTGGTCTACCGCTCGTCCGAGTTGTACTCCAGTAACATTTTGATATAGAGTTAGACAGACTAGCACAGCACGCTGCTTCGACCTCCCAACTACGACCCTCTACCCTCTACCCCTGTACACAGCAAATCTCTCGTAACACTCTTAGATCGCTAGAAGTACGCAGCTGCGCCCAAGCCGAGCGAGATCCCTTAAAGCCTAGATTTGTCGCGTCTTAACGTACTTTTCGACGGCGTCCTCCCCCGTTGATAGTAGAAGAACGCCGAGCGATCGATACCATGGCCAGCAATTAACTACGAATAATCAAGAGTACCAGCTCGTTGTCGAAACTCCTCGCCTGAAACCGCGATCGACAGTCTTGGAGCGACCGACCGACCCAGCTGCGTACGCGAAGCAAATCACATTAGACCTTGCAACAGTATCGTAATAACTATATCCATAGTAACATATCGCGATTCCTCGACTCGCGTTACATCCATAATAATATGAGTATCGTAGCCTTAATTTGTTTACATGATTCGTTAACTATCTAATTAAGATATATCGGAACAGTACAGCGACAGAACATTAACGGGGACCACCTATTAATTTCCTCGTCCTACGCGTATCTCGTTTTAATGATCGGGTAAATCCGTACGACTATGTAGTATGTATACGTTAATGCAATATCGGTTGTACGTATATTTATATATATAAATGCAGATATATATATATATAAATACATGTACATATATATATTATAATACTTCAACAATGGGCTACCCACGTTGCCTCGCTCGGTAGGGCTCTCGACCGAGGGATTCCACCCTTCGTTATTCACCATACGAATTAATATACAACGTCGGTCACGTTAGACCTGGTTTTCCCTTAATTAAATAAGACGCGACACATCGCTCGTCCAATCGTGCTGCTGTCGGTTTTGGCATATATTAACAAACGCAATGGCCGATCGTCGCGAGCTAAGCCTTTTCGAGTCCTCCAGTCCTTGGCGACCTCCTAGGTCCTGTACGCTATCGGACCCCCCTCGAAGTCCCTCTTTTTAACGTCCTAAATCCCGAATACATCTCTTGGCAAGCATCTCGATCTGGTCGTCGCGAACGCGGCGACCTCGACCGACGTCGACCTCCTCGTCGCGACGAGCGACGTCGACTCGGCGACCGCGGCGTCCTCGGACGCGTTTCTTCATCCCTTTGCTAGCGCGACCCTACTTTATATTTATATTTATATATATATATCTATATAATCCTGTATAAGCACTACGGGCCATCTTATACAATTTTATACACATCTACGTGAAGACTCTACACCGCCGTTAAATCGCAAACGGCGCGGTGTTCAACATCCTGGAATGCCGTGGAAACGATGATGGCGGGCTTCGACCTTATTCACAATGGTGAGATGTAGAGCTCGGAGACGGTACACTTCGGGTTAAGGCGGAGAGATGACGTAGATCGACCGGAGGATAGCTGGGCGCTTTTCGTAGGCATTATTACACAGTATTTACAGAATTGGTGCTTCGTCCGATTAATTCCAATTAAATTCCTGAAACAGATCAGTAATGGCGTTCAGAAGTTGATCCCCAAGGGGCGGGAGCTAGAGGATAACTATGAATTAATGTCTGCGCGAATTGCACTTGATACCAGGAAGGGTTTCACAGACGAGCCTCGTCTTCAGGACCTGCACCTCCTTGGTACCAAGTGGTCCACCACGCTACATACTCATACCAAAAATACACGTACGTCCTCGGTGCATATATGCATTAACTACCCTAACATTAGCTACCTAGAGGAGCGTATTCACATCTACACCGGAGAAGGAAATGTCACTTGTTAAGTAGAATCAGGACAGGGTGAAGTCTAGGGGAAAGCGCCATTTCTTGGCAAAGCACAAAGCTTGTCGGACCAACCACCGAGAGAGTATGACGGTGCCTAGTCGAGGGTTCAATTAGTCACACTGAAGCACTCGTGTACGGAAGGTTTGCCCGATGGGATCAAGAAGTCGTCCTTATATATACATATAAAGAAAAAAAAAGAAAAAAACATTATCTCATCTTTGCCGTTCAAGATTCGAGACGCTCCTTCGAGCGAAGTGGCCTCTCCTTCGAGGTGAAGTATCAAACGGCAAAAATGGTAAATAATTTTTAGACGGCCCGATAACAGGGATCCGGGGTGCCTTGCGCGTCAAATAAGCGCCAGATCCTGAAGAGGATGCGGAAGAGTGCGGATCTCGAAGGGATGGACGTCCTATCGGGTCCCCTCTACGCCGATAAGGTGGATAGATACCTAGTCCCTTCACAGAGCACCGAAGGGGTCCAGCTGGACAGCATTGCCCTGCGGCTGAGCGGCGGGTTGAGGATGCTGCTGCTGAAGGGGAGCACCCATCATGGGGTTCGCGCCTCCCATACCGATGGGTGCCGCACCCCCTGCAACCATCATGCCGCCGGAGGCGGCAGGAGCACCAGGCATTGCACCCATCATCGGCCTCATGCCCTGCATGCCCTGCATTCCCTGCATGCCCATTGGCATACCTTGCATACCCTACAGACACCAGAGAGCAGGAAATGAGACTTATGTACAAAAGTGGGAGCTTCTCCGGGGAGAGTCCTCGGGAAAGGAGACCCCAAGGACTCGAAGGACCCCCCGAAACATGAAAAACGAGGATTCTCAAACCCGGCCAGATGACTCGAAATCACCGGAAATTAAACCGGGAAAATCCCTCCGATATTCTGTACCGCCAATCAAATGCTATCGGATCGTCCGTTAATTTACCGCCTCTCGATGAGATTTTCGGTAATTAACCCCGGACGAATGACGCGCGTTCATTAATTTAATTTAATCCACCGCAGGATGCAATTCCCATCCTCACCCGGTTGTTGTGACGCGCACGATTAATGAAATATTCCGACGTTTCGATTAAGCGGCGATAATTTTGCCGAGTGCATTTCAGATAAACATTGATAACAAGAGGGGGTAGAAATTTCCCATGAAAAAAAAAAGGGAGAAATAGAGACGTCTTCTTTCGTTACACCCCAGAGAGCTAGTCCACGTGTGAATCGAAGGACATTAGTACAGCAGTAGAATGTGCATACACAGTGATCTGTAAAGATTGCGAGCCTACGCGATTAATCGACTCGTTAATGCCTGTACAACGATTTCCTGGGACTTATAAACGTTATTTACAGGTCCCTTGTAATTTAACAGACGACGACGAGGACTGTTTTGCGATCGTACAGGCTTTAATGGGTCGGAGAAATTGAGGAAATCATTAAACATCAGTTAGTACGATTAGAAAGAGACAACAGGTATTTACAATACACGTTCCCGATATGTATTAAATGAATGAATACATAGAGAGTAGCCAACTACTTGATAAAGACTTAGAGAAGCGTGACATTGCACCTGCGAGGTGTACTTGGCGCGATAACGCCAGCAACGCGGAGACACCTTGCAGAACGCATCACGAATTAGAGCCTATACTCAAGATATATCGCATCGCCGATAGCATTAATGTGCATAATCAATACGTGGATCGTCCTAGGAACGTTTAAAAAATTCCTTCTAAATTTCTACGGAACGCCTTAAGATCTAGATGTCGCCATGTGTGATCCAGGAGTACCAGCTGATCACGAGTGCGCACCAAATGCGCACAATACTTCCTTAGCTCGACGGGCCGTCGAATTTAACCCGTTCACCGTGTGACACCGTCTATAGATGTGCTCGTACGTGTAGGTGCGCATTAATTGTCAAGAAACACTTAGGCAGCCTTAAAGAAAATAATGCATCGATATGAGAGGGGTTCGTGGCTGGGTGAGAGGCCACGGATGCAGAAGCCAAAAAAGGAACGCACGCAGGTCGCTAAACGAAAGCTGCTTTCTTTCTTTCTATGTCCCGGTTCGATTCGCAGCCTCGAAGAGTCTTCTCCTCGACCTCGAGGGAGAACTCCCGGAAGTCAGGGTCTGCCCGGGGTGAATGATTGAGTAATTCACTATGGGGCCCTCAGGGCCGAGAGATATTCAAGATGGCAGACGGGCAGACAGTGAATTCCCCGGAGTAGCAAGAGTGCACGAAAGGGAAACACTCACCAGTGGTGCGGACTGGGGAGGAAAGCCCAGGGTGGTAGCCGGAGGAAGCTGCGTCATTCCTTGGCCCTGCAACAGCCGGCAACATGCCATATGCCATGCATGCATCACTCAACTAAACGGGCTGATCGGTAACAGAAACGTCGCCCTAGGTTCGCCTCGAAGTGAGGTAAGATGTGCTACTCGGAGGGTGGTTCCACGACGAACCGATACCGACTCTACCCAGCCCATCGGTCCTAAATGCGAGCTAGGGATATAACCAGGTACTAGGACCCAACGTCTTGGTCGAACCTGATTCCCTCCTCGAAATTCAATTCTCACCGAGGAGACGAGTCTATTCTTCAGGGTGCGAGTGCGGTTCGCCAGGGACCATCAGCGATCGAGTTGCAAGGTGCTCATCGCGTGGTCCTGGTCGTCACTTACCTTAACGGAGTAGGGGACGTCAAGCGAATCTCGAGAAAAGGGGGCAAACATTCCGATCTAGTGCGTGAACGAGGAGGACGAGTCGCGTGGAAGGCGTGAGTGCGTGTGCCCGGGTCGTTGCGTGACGTGTATGTACAACCTTGTCGCATTACCGGGTCTGCCGGTACCGATGTTAGGTGTACCACCTTTGGCCGCTCTAGTCAGCGTTTGGGTATACAGATGTGCCGCTAAAAGTAAGAATTAGCAACTAGGGCCGACTTGTAAGGGGGTACCCACCATGGGGCGATAACCAGCTCCCGTGGTGGCCGCCATCGGCTGCGGCGACCATCCGGCAGGACCTCCGGTCTTGGCGGTGTTCTTCGGCGAGTTCCACTGCATGCCCCTGAAACATCGAAAGGATGCTGTAAAGGATGTCGATGGAACGCCACTATCAGGGGTCGTTCGTGTAGATACGAGGAGATTGCCGTGTTCCTGGGAGTACTCACTTGACTTGTTGTGCGCTCTTGTTGATGGTGAGGTTCTGTGCGAGGCTGGCGAGGCTGCTGTCCAGGTCGCCGGTCAGGACCTTGCCAGTGCTGGCCGTGTTGACCGGCTGTCCCGCTGCTGAAACGTTATTAGCTCCAGACACAGTGGTGGCGGGCATCAGGACCGAGTCCAAGCCGTCAAAACCTAAGCAACACCTACATCAGCCAAAGCCCAAAAGCGGAACCAAATACCGGTACCGAGAGCATAAGAGAGGTGGTCGACGAGGATGCCGATTGTCCAGCCCAAAAGACCTGGAAGAGGTCGACGGGACCTGCAGGCACCGTCGTGGACGGACCCCACCGACCCGGAAAAGCGTAACCGGAAACAGTGTACTCGGCGCTACCGTTTTCGAGCGACTTAGCGAAAAATCAAAGGTCTAAAACAGGCACCCTGCTAGCCTACTTCGAACATCGTCTCCCGGGAAAGGGGTCTTCCTCGGGCGCGAGGTCGACCATCTCTAATACGACCATGCTGTCAGGAACACTCGGACATCGCAAGCCACGTACTCGGATGACATGGCCACAGAACGACGCGAAACACTAAGCCGTGCACCGGGAGGGACGACCGACGAGGATGACGATGAGCCGAAGGGAACAAGGAGTACATGGGCGCACAAACGACTACGATGACCATGGCAACGACGACGAGACTGACCGAGGACGACAATGACGACGACTATGAGTACGAGACTCTAACCGCGTCATATATACATATATATACACGATGTACATACACACAATTAGAGACGCCCGAGCGAGACACCCCATATCTCGAAATTGAAAAATCAATGCCCGGAACTTTGGTATTCAAAAATTCTTCTTTTCATGCAAAGCAGTGGAACTTCATCCCGGGATTTTGGGATCCTGGTGTCAGGGTCTGACCCGAGCGTTGCAAAATCCCCGTTTATGGGGATTCCGGAGGAAGTTAATCTGAAGCTTCATTGAAAGTGTATTAATAGTTGAAATTTTGTTTTCTCCAAGGTGGTGGAGGGTGGTCATGGGGAAGGGGTCCACGTCTCTTCTCGGGCTCGGGCGTCTCTCTCGCGCCCGGGCATGCAGCTCGCTATTCGGCTGGTCTCGCGTCACCTGACAGAGGCTGCCTGGCCGGGGAGCCGCAGCCGGGCGGGAGCGGGGCCTGGGGCCCGGTCGGAAGGGCGTAGGCCGGGGTGGCGGGCCCCATGTCGAACGCGGCGAAGCCCTGCTGGACGGGAGGCTGCTGCACGGGGGGCGGCGGTTGATGTTGCCCCATGGGAGGCGGTCGCGCGGGGGAGCCACCCAGCGCCATGCGAATGCTATCGTTGAGGTCGTCGAAGGCGCTCTTGGCAGGGGTGGGACCCGGGGCCGGGGCCCCGCCGACGGCGGGCGAGACGGCGCGCGGCGTGCCGCCCGCGGCCGACGCGGGAGGCGGCGGTCTGGGAGGCGGCGTCGCGCTCGACTTGCCGGGCGTCGGGCCCCCGGAGGGCGCTGCCCCGGGGGCGAGCGCGCCCGGGGCACCGTCTCCGTCGGCCCCGTCCGCGGCCCTCGGCGCTGCCGGCTCGCCGCCCCCAAAGAGATCCGCCGCCCCCTGGCCGCCGGCGCCGAACGGGTCTCTGCCCGGGGCCCCCGCCGCCTCGGAGGGCGCGCCACCCTGGTCGAACAGGCCCAGGGCGGCCGCGTTCGGCGCCTGCGCCCCCGGGAAGTCGGACGCGAAGGGGTTCGCCACGGCCCCGGCCGATCCTGCGGCTGCTTGCGCAGAAAGGGTTACCCGCTGCGTTATTTCTCCTCCGATCCGGGACTCGCGAGGGGTTCGAAACCCGGCACCGTCCTCCCATAGATCTTGGATGCCCCCGCTCGTTTTTTTCGTAATTTCATATTGAAGTTAACAATCGCCATATCGGGTCGCTCCACAACCTCGCGAAGACATTTTTAAAGTAATTCCGCGCTTATATGGAGGTACCAAAATGGCGGAGAGAGATGGTAGGTCTTCTTGATGAAGAAAAAAAAGAAAGAAAATTCATGTTTGGAGACTACCTAGTTCCCCGTGAATTTTTGGAACGACCCGATATTTTGGGTCCGGTTCCGAGGACCGGGCACTTTAGAACGACGTCACGATAGCTGTGAACGTCCTCGATGGTGGATGCATTTCACGTGAATCACATGTTAGTTAAAGCCCTCGGTTAAGACAATGCCGATTTCTTCGTTAGGTCGTAGGCCGTTAGTGCGGTTGCGTCCGCGTTAGTAGGCAGAGGGATTAGTCGGACTTAGGTCGAGAAGAGATATCAAGATGAGATCGCGACACTCCCGTGGTCGAGGAATAACCGTGCAGAACCGGCGAGGGTGCAAGAAGAGCAGGACACGGTGCCGCGCAGGATCTCGAAGAGATCACCGGTACACCCCTTCCAATAATTTACGGCCTGACGGTACACTTACTCGACTGTTGATCCTGGCTACCGAAGACGGACGAGAAGTTGTTATCTGTAACAAAGTTATTAGATGCCGGGGGCGCCGCGGCGAAACCTACAAAAAGAAAATAAAGTAACCTAAAAACGGAACCCAACGAAATCATAAAAGACCGCAAAGTCGCCAACGGAGCAACGGAACCTGGAGTTTGAGGCAGAAGCAAAATTAACAGGCTAATTGGAATGTTTCTGTGATGTAGACGTCTACGCCATGTTGAGTTTTGTTCGTGCCATTTTTTTATTTCAAAAACCAGAGCTGTTAAAAAATAAATAAATTCCGAGAATTACCATTTTAACGTTTCTGGAGGTTCTGGGAGGCTCTGAATTTTCTTAACGTCAGAGAATTCATTAGAGTGGAAAAATCAAAGAACTCAACATGACACAACGTCTACATCACGGAAACATTCCAATGAGCCTGTTAATTTTGTTAGTGCCGGAACTGGATACTCCAGGTTCACGCAGCCTCGGTGAACTCCTCGAACCAAAGAGAAAGGAACGAACGAGATTTGCATTTACCATTACCGTTGGTCATCCACATGTTGTTCTGGGCCGCGGCAGGCTGGGCAGCAGTCGGTTGCGGTCCACCAAACATGTCCGCGAACGGATTGCCGGCCAGCTGCAGCAGATCATCGGATGCTTTCTGTGACTGTAATGAAGGTAAAGAAAAAAAAAATAATAATTATCAGTCTACCAGTACCTATGTACTACCCTTAAACTCCAAAGACCCAAAGACATCCATGTTAATTAATTCAAGTTCTCTAGCCATACCTGTCCGTCCGTCGCAGGTGCCGCTCCGAAGAGGTCCACAATGGGTTGATTAGCGTTGTTAGTGGGCGAGCTGAGGAAAGGATTCGTGCTGGGTCCACTGGACGACGGAGATTGTACTTTAGCCTGCTAAAAATGTCACGGATTAAGGTCTGACAACGATAAAGAAGTAGAAGAAATCCAGGCTCGAGGAGCGGCGTCGACCTCGCGACACCTCGAGCGCTGTTTCGCTTCCAAGTGGAATTTGGATAGGCATTAAGAGTGATTATCCTTTTAATTAGGTTTCTTCAGGTTCCAGAGCTCGTACCTTGTACTGGTTCATGGCGGCCTCTTCCTCGGCGAGGGCCTGTTGCCTCAAAGCCTCGTCGATGTGGCCATTTCCGGTGTGATCGAGACGCGCGTTGCTGGCTGCCGTTCCGAACGCCGTGCTGGTGGAAGACAGGGCGGACACTCCCGACTTTACATTCGTTCTATTGCTGCTTGGGCAATGATGGGTTCGTGGGTGCGTGTCGGCGGACGGGAGCAGAGAGAGAGAGAGAGAGAGAGAGAGATAAAGAAGAGAAAGAAAGAGAGAGAGAGATCGTAGGACGGGGACCAGAGAAAAAGAGAGAGAAAAAGAGAGATCGTTTTGGCGTCGGCGAGAGTGCGGTGATGGGGGGAGGCCAAAGGAAAGTTGATAATTGAAAACAAAGGAGAAGACAAACAAAAAACAAACAAATCGTGTAGTACATACAAATGCAACGATGCGTACGAACTAAACGGTATATACGGTGTGTCAAGTGTGCTCGCTCGTGTCGGTCCTCGAGTGTCGCATGCTCACTAGTGTCTCTTTCTTTGTCTTATGTGCCTTCTAGCCTAGCTAGGTTTGTCTTGAGGGGAAATTCACTCGGTATATCGCGGATCTCGATGCTGGAAATCATTAGAGATCGGCAGAAGTCACCGAAACGTCGTTACGATAAGGCCGAAGGCCACTTGTACCGGATCGCATTGTTGCCTATCGATTAAGTCACTTTAACAAATCAAATCGCATTTTTTTTTGTCGTGTGAAGTCGGGCAATCGGTTCTCAAGGGAAGGAAAAAATCATTTTCATTGAACTCCGGGTGAATGACCCCTCGGGTTTCTCTACTTCCTGAATTCGCGACTCTACTCTTTGGGTCATCGAAGAGGTCGATGACCTCGTCGCATGCGACATCGATCGGCCTGCCGAAATGTGCGAACTACTCGCAATAACTGCACGGTAGAGTGTCGAAGTGCGGATCTTGTCCTCGTATTAATTATCAGGATACGTGATAGGGCGATCGATCGATCGGACGAGCGAGATTTCGCGTCCACGCGGCCACGTTTGGAAGAAAATGAGGGGAGCCGATTTTCTTGTACACTCTGCTGGACAGTGTCGTGTCGATTACATGTAGGTTCTCGGATATACATTTATACGGCTAATCGCAAAGTAACTGATAAAACGGGGCTGACGCATCAGCCAAAATAAATGATCTACGTCTCGCAGCATCTCAATAGTTCATTTACTATAGGTGCGCGTGGAAGGATGCGCAGTTACGGTCCAAATGAAAAGAAAAAAAAAAAAAGAAAAAACAGGGAAAAAAGGAGGAAGAAAAACCAAAAACTCCAAAGAGTCGTCAAATGTGTCTTGACCGGTGACAAGAACAAGAATCTTAGAGGACGTTTTACACCTATGACCTCTTACCGATGGGTGCTAACTCGCAATGTCTATTTCTCGGCTGTGCAGTACGCGATCTTACGCAGATATCTCTTATCGTGTGAAGAAAAAGACAATTAACAACCGAGAGCGGTCTAATGTTGGGAGTAAACTTGTCCGGTGTCTTCACGCCACATTATCTCGTAACACAGAACATTAACTCGACGCTACATGTACAAAGCTGACGTAAGCGGTGTAATTTGGAAACGGTAGCCCCAAAAGACGTACCACGTACTGCAGTACAGAGTACAAAGTGACAGAAATTGCGATAACAAGACCGGGGAAAGTGTCCTCGGCGTAGGAACTGTCCTTAAAACGGACGCTGCAGGTGGAATCGCCTTTCTCATATTTCCTCGTATTCAACTCAAGAACTGTAGCGATAGTAGAGCGCATTCATAAGTAGCAGAAAAAAAAAAATAACGTAGAATCCAATTATGTCGTAAGGTCGGATGCACATGAAGCGACGTCGTCGAATCGCCAAGGCGAACCATTGGAGGAGACGGCCGCAAGAATCGTCGGGGGGGAAAAAAAAAAAGAAAAAGAATAAGAAAAGAAATTCGGAAAGCGGACGGACGAGGAGGTCGCCTCTTCCACCCTCCCCGGTTGACCTTCTCAATTTGACGAGCTCGGTAGAAAGAATTAATTACGTGTCACATTAACGTCAGTTAAGCCCTCATGAATTCGGGGAAATCGTTTGCCCGATAGCGACGTTGGGCAGGCATGCATCCGAGCCGTGTAAATTTGACGCGTTATTAATTTAACGTGAGGGCGATTAAAAGGGGAAAACAGCCCGTGGTGGGATACGAGAGAAACGGATGAGGTATAAATATTCGATGTCCAGGTGAGGAACTTCGATTCGACCTCCGTGGAAGACCCTCGGCGAACATCCCGAGGAAAGGGACCCTTTTCCCCTCATCGCCCTCGAGTTTGTACGTAAAAGTATAATCGGTAAATTCGAGTGGAAAGAGAGAAAAAAAAAGGAAAAAAAAAATCGTGAAAATTAACCAACCTTGCCGACTGCGTGGGCGTGTTCGCAGCAGAGCCCCTCTTCCCTTCCATCGAGGCGAGATGTTGCTCCAAAGCGTCCAACAAACTGCTCGGAGCCTACAACCGAGAATTCACTGAGTCCCATTTCTAGGTGCAACAATTCATTCTAGGATGGCTCTCGTATAAATAAAGGGAAAATAAATACGCGAAAGTGCGCGCGGTGCGGTTCCGTCTGTGCAGTTGGCAGGGATAAAAAAAAAAAGAAGAAGAAGAAGAAAGGAATGAATCAGCGACGCCGTACAACGACAAAAAAGCCGACACGTGAAAAGTCGAAATTACGCGTCGTCCCGAGCAGTATCTAAGAATACTCGTCTACGGCTCTAGACCTTCTACGCGCAGTTAGTACAGCGTTACCTTTCAGGTGTATCCGAGAACAGAGAGGAGAAATAAGTATTAGTGGGAGGATCTCTAAAGTTCCCGCGTTTAAACTAAACGAGCCATCAGAGGCGGCCAACCCCTCTGGGAAAACTCATTGTACGGTAGGTAAGGTACAACTTTCGATAAGTGAAAGTTCGGAGCAATCTCCAGAGATACCCGCTCGCCCTGGGTGTACGTACCTTCGTGAGATCGGGAATGTCTCCTTTGTCGATGCCGACATTCTGAAAGAACGAGACAGAACTTAGAAAAGGTAGCTCGAGTTGAAAGAAGATACTTCCGCCATTTATTCGTTCACTCACCTCCGCGACTTTGAGGAACTCCCCGACCCTGTCCATCCGTATGAGGAACTTCTTGTATAGGTCCAGCGCGTCGCGACATTGTTTCTTGTTCATGTCGAAATACTTCTCTGAAAGCAAAAAGGTCCGTTGGTAGATTGAAGCCGCGAGGTTGCCCGAGGTACCTCAGGAAGTCTCTCTATACCCTTGAAGGGAGTGAAACGTTAACGCCGAGACGAATTCGTCACCGGCGTAAACACGAGAATGCTCACCCAGGAGATTGATAATGCCGTCGTTGTAGCATGCGAAGAGGCGAATGAGGTCTCTGAAGAGGAGCATGAAGGCCATATTGATGACGCCGTTCGTGAGGTCGTTCGCCGTGCAGTCGAACTCGAGCAGAGCGTCCAGCTGGGCCTGGAGTACAGGAAGAGTCTTCAGGAGCTTCTCGGCGTTCATCGTCCTGAGGGTGCCGTCCTCCTTCCTAGAGATTGAAACCCAAACGTAAAAACGAACCGTTCATTCCAAGACGGATATGTACCCAGAAAATTTAATGAAACTAGCAGAAATAAAACTCAATATCGCTTATTTTCATGCTAACAGCAAGTAGGAATTTTTTTATCGCAAGATCCTTTATTCTTTTTTTTTTTTTCTTTTAAGGGAAAGTGCTTTCCTTTTCATACGGTGTATCTTACATACTCCTGTTATCAATGAGTACGTATACATACCCTCTCTTAACCTTGCAGAAGTCGAAGGCCACCGTCCTGTAGGAGAGGGCTTTCTCGTTCAAGTACTTGGCGTACCGCCTGATGAACGGGGACATGTCGTACCCTGGATAAACGGATTACGGTTAGCGAGAGGGTTGACGACGATCAGGGGGTAAGTTTCCGCATCGACCGCGCGAGTTGGGCAAATCGAGGCCCGTTAAACGGCCGTTTACGGCTAAAGCGACGTGGCGGCGGAGTGCGTCGTTTGGGACGGCATTGCAACGAGCGATGGTGCATATCAGGTACCGGCTCGATTATCGAGTTAGTGCAGCAATTAACGCGAAAGTATCTCTCAGCTCCGGGTTAATGCTCCCCGAGCAAGAATGCCCGTGAAATAGACGCCCCACTCGATTTTCTTAATTCCGTTAACGCATTCGGTTAAACCCCACCAGGGTTCCTATTATCAACTTTCGCATGGGAAATTGATAATTTCATGTAGGACTTTCAAATATTGACTAATTGCGCGACATCGCAGCAATGTGAATCTGTTTGTTATGTGAAAAAAAAAAATTCATGTGAACGTCAGAATAGGAGCCCTGGAGGTTCGACTGTTATCACGGCTGAGCAATGATATCTCTGGTCGGGATAGGTCTCGAATTTGGTTAAATCATGCTAAGACGTCAGGGTATATTAACACGGACAATCAATGCCGGCGTCTTCATCAACCAGGAGAGGTTTCCGATTAGGTTAAATCCCAGGACGTGCAGCCACTCCGCCGTTTCCGTCAACTCCTCGCCGGTTCCAATTAGGGCGACTCACCAACGCGTGCTCCGGCTGCGCTCCCAGACAGAGGAAAGGTTAATCCACGTTAGTAAATCGGAAATAGCCGGTCACATGGAAAAGAGAAAGCAGCCATTTCTACCGAGTTAAGGGCTAGAGGCAGGGGATTAGTCATACCAGCGAATTAATTAATAATAATTAGTATCGATCAGCATCCGCATCGACATTACGATTAATATCCAGCGCAATCAACATGCGGTGTAAGTCACAGAATCTCAGATAAGAGGATCAAAATCAGGGGCAATGAAATCAATTAAGTGAATAAATGTAATATTTCATTTTTCTTTTCTTTTTTTACTCCTTAGTAATNTTTCGGGGTATATATATATCCGAAGGTAATAAAACAATCGTTTCTGCGAATTGCAATCGATTATCCGAGAGAAAGCTAGGAGATCGTGAGAATTAAACTGCATTTACCGTCATCGCTTTCTGCACAGCCACGAGACATCGAGCCTCGATTTTGACGCCTGTCCGAAAAATTCATCCGAAAAATTTCACGGAAAAGTACTGAACTAATTACCTGTAATCGCTAATTGAAGTGATTAATCTCCCTTCGATATAAACGGCGCGTTAAACTCGCATATCGCGTTTCCTCGGAAACGCGGCGCTTTTCCGCGGTCATGGCGGAAGTGAATTTCCCTTGGCCGGGAAATTGAGATTTCCATTTCGCAGAAATGAATCTTGGCCCCGACTAAATATGCGTAGGCGTGCCGGAGGTGGAGGTTTCATTTGCGCAAGCTCAAATCCGTCCACGTGGACGACTTAAATCGTCATCCATTACAGTTTCGCCGGCGACCCGAAAACGTCGGAGATCGTTAAGGACGTCGTTCGGACGTCACGGGAAAATTGAGAGAATTTTCCGGGATTGTAATATATAAAAAAAAATAATTCCATCGAAAGTTCCCTCAATTTCCCGAATTTTTCGTGGGTACAGCGCATGGATGAGAAAAAGGAAATTGAAAGGGAAAAAAAGAAAAAGAATGGAAAACTCACCTCATTGCCATAGCAGAGCATGTGGTGAACCGTGATGAGTGCCTTGAAGACCACCGTCCAGTTTGTGTTTTGCGAGCGCTCTATCAGCAAATTCGCAAGCTGTGGTATCGACACGTTCGGCTCGTTCGTGCAGTGTATTAAATCTGGAAGGTAAAAGGGATCTACAATTAAATTCCGGGAGATGTAGACCTGGTGAAATTTTTTAATAATATGTATTTTAGATAGAAATGCATCCTCGAGCGGTATCGACACGTGCGCCTCGTTCGTGCAGTGTATTAAATCTGGAAGGTAAAAGGGATCTACAATTAAATTCCGGGAGATGTAGACCTGGTGAAATTTTTTAATAATATGTATTTTAGATAGAAATGCATCCTCGAGCGGCCGCAAGGAGGATCGAATTACCGGGTGCATTAATCCGGTCCGGTTAAATCTCCTTTATTCGCGGATCACCTGACTGGGGCTGGCAAACTAATGGCTGTTCCGCAATACGCTGAATTCCCGGTCGATGCACCCGGGAAAGAGGAGAAAACGATCCTTGCGAGACGTCGGGTCACGAAGGGGCACTGTCTAGGGGGTTATCGACGGGCGAATATCGGATAACAATCGTGCAACTGCAATTTCTCAAGGTGCATCCACTGGCAGGCCCGACTCTGCGGGTCTCTCTCCTGGTAAAAATTCGACTTTCCCATGAAACGAATTTCCCATAAAAAGAGAGAACGATTTCAGCCGGTAGGACATGGAGTACCGCGAGGTACGAGAGAAACCTCATCCTACATTATGTGTTTCGTTGATATAAATGAATCAATTAAATTAACTCCCGGCGTTCAGGGTGCAGAAATGCTGGATTTTCCGAATCCCCAGCCCCAGGGAGGCCAGAAACGCAATTACGAGGGTACCAGAAATTACGCATTCACCTTCCTCCCAGAAGTCACGGTACACCCTCCCCTCTTCAGGGCTCGACATCGACGGCGGGTAAGAAGCATTAAACTCGCCTCTGGTCCAACAATGGCACCTCTGGTGGTTCAATGAGGCGTCAACTTTCCACATTAAGGGTCGTCATTAGCGAGGCACAAAGCGCCGAAGAGAACGTCGGAAGGGCCCAGGGAAATGGAGGCACTTTTCCCTCTCCTCCACCCGAGAGACCGCCGAAAAATCCGCGGGTATTAATAAAAAAGAAGGAATATAACAAAAAATAAACAACGCGAACGAAAGATCTCCATTTCCTCTTTGTGTGTTCAGGAAGAGTGTGTTAGATCGAGCCCCAGGAAGAGGAGCACTCCAGGGATTGTTTCCTTCCTCATGGTATTCTTCAAGGTATCATGGTACCTCGCCATTTTTCCCCGGATTTGGCGAAATCCACAGCATCCGGGGTCTCGAGGTGCCCCTTTCCAGGGATCTTCGGGGATATCTCGTTCCCAGGAGGAGGTAATATATTGATATGGTACATAATCCGTAAATAACGCCCTCGCTTCGGGTCTGACCGTTTCTCACGGGAGAAACGCGCCCTGGCGCGTAGGTGGCACTCTCTCGTTAACTCTTCCTCGGCCTCGAGAGAGCGACTTTGCCATTCGCGTCGGAGAGAGTTCACGGCTCTCGGGGACGAGTTCGTTGCTTCTCTTTTCCGACCGAACATCCGAGATATCCGGTTTCCGCCGGAGGGTCGTCGCTCGCCATCCGGACGGAAAGAGACGCTAGGAAATCGCTCACAAAGGGCGGAAAAAAATAATGAATTACGCTTCGATTATTTCATCTCTCATCGCAATCCACCCAACCCGAGCGGCATCGAGGATCGCCTCTCAAAGGGAACGCCCATGCCGAGTAATATCACCAGCTGATAACCCGAGCAAGAGAGGCGTTGCACGCCTCTACCAGAATCGATGTCCGTTTCCTATCGCAACAGCTGTTTCATATATTTTTTTTTTTTTTTAAGTTTATGGAGATTATATTACCGCGACATAGACTCGATGGATTGGGATTTTTCCCCCCATTTTGGGAATTTCAATTCATGTGCCATGAGATTTAATTTGATTTTTTTTTTTCCCCCCATTGCGAGACTCAGGATGATACGATTGACTATTGTACGCTTCGCGCTGTCAATCTATGGGCCGATTCGTCCTCGCCAGACGGGACCAAACTTGACGGATGACAGTCTGCGAGTCAATCGCACCGATTGACCGCCCTAATAAAATTAATATCCACCGAATGCCGGGGTCAAAGACCCGCCTATCTCACGCGATGGTCGCGCACGTCGCGACGCCTCAACCTGAGGATCCCGCCTTCAATCAACGACTTCGATCGTCGACCGTAGTCCAGAAAAGAATTTTTTCCTTTTCTTTTTAAATTCAACTGGACACTTATACACTATAAAATGAGTTATTAGTTCTAAAATAACACCTTCGAGTCAATCTAGGGACACGTGCTCGGCACGACACGTGGCAGGCCAGTATAACAATATTTTCGACGTGTGTCATCTAGACTTGTCCACGACAAAGGAAGTCGATGACGCGGTCTCTGATAAAAAGCGGGAGAAAAAAAAAATTCCGAACTACCTCGGAGGAACCTCTACTCGAATAAATTCCAGGCCACTTGGAGGACCTCGGGATACTTCCCCAAAATTCAAGGAATCTCGTCGATCCTCGGGAGTGGTGGAAAAAAATAAAAAATGAAAGAGGAGAGAAAAAAAGGGAAAGATCTCCGCGGAATAAAGTGAGAGTCGCGACCCAGACTTGCCCCCGAGGGGGTTAATTTAACGCTCGTAATAGCGCATGCAAATCATCGATTTGTCCGGTCAGTGCACCTCTGGATCGAGGAAAAAATGCGCAATGACTGCCGGGAATATGGATTTAGGATTTACGGGCCGACCATCCAAGTTTTCTCGACGAGCGGCCGAATTAACGCGTTTATAAAGAATGGATATTAACGGCAGGGAGGGGGCGGCAGCGGCGTTAATTTTCCGCGTTAATTCCGCAAACTGAGCCGCTTTATCCCCGCACATACGCGGAGTCAATAAACAGGGTTGTCGAGGTCGGGTCGTTGTTATGCAATTTTATGACGTTTTTATGTGCACGCACCGCAACGACCGGGTACTTAGCGAGAGGCTCGTACCTCGCGGTGATTTCGAGTATCGATATAAAAACCCATAAACCATGAGATGTCCCTACGGTGAGATTTTTACGGCGACTCGGCCTGAAACATGCAAAGTCAACGACGGCTCTCGTCTTCTGGGCACTTTCGCGGATTTACGCGCCCGTCGATGAGTCGCATTGAACAAATTGACGTCTAGACAAGAGACCACGTGGTCTGGTCACATGAACTTACGATTACTTTTCGCCGTAGTATAGTACTAGATTCAATGCCCCCCCGGAAGTCGGTCTTGCCCGCCATCTGAGTCATTGCGTACATATAGTTATGACTGCGATAACGGAGTAATCGAATATTAATCCCTGGTCCCCCCATACATGGATCCAATGTCAAGGCGGCATGCAAGGAGGTTTACATGTCCTCGGGAGTAATTTTTACGAACCTGCGCGATAAGATCTCCCTCTCGAGCAAAATATTTACCACGCATTACTAATCGTAAATGGAAAAAAAAAAAAATATTAATATCTTTATGCATGCGTAAATGAGAAAAAAATAAATCTCTAACCTTGTACCCTGAGAAATAGTGCCAAAAATATATATTCCGATAATTTTAATAATAAATAATTATTCCTCGATTTAAAAGTATATCTTTTCCTTTTCTTAGCGCATACAACATCCTTTCGGTAAGTTTGGTAAGGATGAAAGATTCAAAATGGCGTCGACGATGCACCGCGACCACTCTTACTCGTGGCGATTCCTCGAATATATATATGACTAAGGAGCTTTACTCCGACGTTTTTCGACACCTAGTCGGAAAATTCGGCCGATCGAGATATCGATCGATAGAGAATCGAGGCCTATCGGGGATCGACCCAGAAGCAAGCAACCCGAAGACGAGCCACTCCACTTGGCACTTGGACGTGGACGCGTACAAGTGCATGTACGGATTCCACGAGTTGCAGAGAGGGTCAAGGCCAGTTGAAGAGGCTTTTTCAGTGCCTCGTATTTACGGCGAGCCCTTTAGCTCCCTCTCTTCCGAGTTATCCAGAAAAGCGCAGGGCATAGCGATCCTCAATTATGGGATTTCAAGATGGACGACCGAGCATTCCTCGGCGAGTCTCTCGCACCGTGGTCGAGAAAATTGCGGTAAAAATCGTGAGAAAGAAAAAAAAAAGAAAGGAAGAAAAAATCGTGAAAAATCGCGGATAGATTAATTTGGCTCGAGCACTATGTACGAGGAGGCTTCGTGCCAAATCACTTGGCAGCGACTCCGGTACGAATTCTCGATGGGTACCACACCCAGAGCACGAATTCGGAATACCCGAGTAGTTTCCCCCGAGTCGACTAATTTTGGAGGATTTGCGTCTGAATTAACTCCCGAAACTAGGTTGTTTGATAAACCGATCGACATCCGAATCCGGTTCGAAAATAGTCCCCGACGCCTGGCGACAAGAGGCGGAATAAAGAAATTAAAGGTACACACATCATTACCCCAGGGCGAGTACCTTGGGTAGTACTAAAAATAATTCGAAAAAAAAAAAACCATGTCGATCGAGAAAGACGAGGAGTATCGATCAGTATTGATTTATACCAACATATCAAGCACCTTGATACCAAATACCATGATAACATTTCCAAAAAAAAAAAATTGTGAAAAATGTAATTCCCTCGAGGAGAGGGTGCACGATATCGAGCGAACAGCTGGTCGTATCAACGCCCTTTGCGACCCCATTTCTTTAACGATTATCCGTCCAGAGCACACGACCTCGAAATCATCTCCTCATGTAACACCCCATGATGCTCCTAGGAGGGAAAAAAAAATGTCCGTGAAAAAAATAAGAAAAAAAAACGGAGTTGGTGTAAAATCGGCTGGATAATTCGCCCCAGTCAGCCGTACGTGGTACATAGTCAAGTTTCATGGGTACCATGGACGACGGTCGATACGTCAATAATAGGCTCGACGTGTTGGGAAATTATTACACGGCTTGCAGGCCTCCCATGGAAACTAATCGATCGATCCCGCGAGTCAAGTGATCGAACCCGGCCGATCGATTGCTCGGCC